TGTCGTTCACTGCAACTCCAAATTTGTTAAACCTCCATGTTCATCATCTTCTACCCAGGAGACAAATTCTTCTATGAGACGAATTTTTGGCTGGCAATTGTATCAGTCAGGAATCATGTTTCAAATCCCCATACAATGGTGCCAAAACACCTGCACGCACATATTTACACTGTCCTTTTCCCTCGGATATGCTGAGTATAATAACAAAGTGGGAGGAGCGTCTGTGGTTGTTTTGGTTTTAATGGAAAGGGTCAGGATGGATTGAGGAGGATCCTAAGGCTGAGGAAGATGGGAAATCGAGTATAAATAGAGAGCTCATTTCGGTTGAAAAGGGAGTATTCGGGGTTTGAGGGAATTCTAGGTTCAGAGCATTTTCTGGGTTTCAATTTTCTAGGTTTCAAAGCATTCTGGGTTTCAAAGCGTTCTGGGTTTCAAGCCGAGGAGAAATTCAAACAACACCCATGTCCATAAGCTTCTGAAAACAGAGAAGGTTTGAAGGAAGAAACACTATTATGAATTTCCTTGTTCCAAACCCAACCCCATCCTGCACCATTTACTCATATGTTCTTCATTTGAAAGTGCTATCAAGTTTTGTTCTTGGGTTTACAGAGAAGACAAAGACAGTAGTTTCAACAGTGTCATCATGTAATATCCCAAAATCTCAAAATGCAACCTTGATTACCCCGTTTGTTTACCGTCTGTAGTTTGTGAGAAGGAAAACATAGGTTTGGATTGAGGTTTAACTAAATATGGTTCTGTTAGTTTTGGTGGAAGAAGAAGTTATCTGGGCTGAGGGGAAGAAAAGAGAAAGAGGAAAAGAGACCAGGGAAAAGAAAAGAAAAAGAAATGGATCTCGGGCTCGATTTGTTTAGTTAGGATGGGCTGGGCTAGACTTGAATGAGTCCGATCCATAAAGAATGGGGTCCTGGGCTGTGGGTTGTAGCTGCCCTGTGGATCAGGAAGAGAGAGAGCGTGACAGGTTTCAGGCTTAGATGAGTTGGGCTGGGTCTTGGTTGAGTCTGGTTCAGAGAAGAAACTAGAGGCTCTATGGACTACGTTTTGAACTGGGCTGAGGGCCCAATTGGCTTTAAATAATTTTTCTCATGATTCATTTTAACAAGGTTGTCTTGCTCATTTTGACCTGAATTTTTTATGTGTATTACATATGGTTATCTTTAGCTTATGTTTAAAATTTCAGAATTTGTGAAGCTCATTTACTATTTATTTTGAATTTATTTAATTTTACACCTAGTTGTTAATTGTTTGAATTGTCTAAAATTTCAATTTAGCCTACTATTTAAGTTTATTTTAATTTGAAAGTTTTAGGGTGTGATTGTATGTTTGTATATAAGTTGTGTCAAGTTTTCTTAATTTTGTATTTATTTAGTACTAGTCTTGATTTTATAGTCTATTTATTTAGTACTTGTAATTTATTATCACTTCGTTGCTAGGTAATTAACGTGCTGATAGATCGTCGAGTCTCCTAGATTCTAGGAGCTGATGACGATCTTCCATCTAATCCATAATATTAAAAAATATTCAAACAAGATAACAAGATGAAATAAAAACTAAAAAATAAATAAAAAAAAGGTTCTTTAATTAATTTAATGAGTCTTATATTTAATAGGAGAGACATTATTTTCGACACCGGAGAAAACAAATCACCCTTAATAATTTGATCGTTCTTTGAAATATAAGTTATGTCAAGACTTTAATTAGAACCGATATTGAATTGATGAGACTCCTAATATCCGGGTTCGATGGTATTTCAATATGATGCCACAATAAAAAATAAAAAATGATTTAGCTTAGACAATAGACAAACTTAGAAATAAACTTAGAAATAATTTGACAAAATAGATTTTTAGGAGATAATTTTTTTTGGACTAAACTAAACATATTACCTTTTCTTGAAAATGATGTATTTGGATAATCGATATCTTCCTAGAGACGTAACCAACTCTTTATCCGCAATTTTTGAATCTAATGTTCTTTTAGGTTTTTTAGTTTTCCTTAATATTAAGAAGTGACTCCAAAACATTGGTTAACTCATATCTCAAAACAATAAAATAAAAAATCCGAGTAATAATAACAATAATAATTTTGGAAAGTTCCCTAAATGCTAGCGACAGTCGATACGAAAAGTATTTCAAGTCTCTAACTCGTACTTATGTTATGATAAGTATAAGACTTAAGTATTCTAAATATCAAATTATTAAAATGCTTTGATTATTACTCCATATATTTGATATTCAATCTTGATGATAAAAATATGTGATGCATGTATTTGCAAGTAATTTTAGATTGTTATATGAATATTTATTAGTCCATGCTTTAGTTTGTTAATTTATAAATTGTGATTGAAAAAAAAACAGAGGGGAATGTGAATTATCATATAAAATCTTGATATAAAATGTTTGAAAATTAATTGTTATTAAAACATTGGTTCGCATGATTGATTTATTAGGACTCGAAGGATCATATATTAATACATATAATTAAGTTCGATTGTGTTTTGAATGCTAATTATTTTTATGTGACTCATGTTGAAATTATCATTACAATGGATGTTTGACACCCATGTCCAATTGTAGCAATATAAACAATTGTAAAAACAATAACCTTGCTAGCATATTATAGGTGAGATAAATTGGCAAGGTACATGATTTAGTACAGAACTTTTCATATATTATTTTCTATGTAAAAATAAAATTTTGACTAATGGCTTCCAATATTAATTATCTACTCTATTATCATAGGAACAACATTTGAATGGTTAAAAAATAAAACTGCTATGATAAATTCAACAATAAATAGTAGGAATTTAAAGAAATAGAAGAAATGCTAGGCGGTGACCATAAATGAACAACTAATGAGAGGATTGTTGATTTTTTTTCTTTTCCTCTAAAAAGGAAATACTTGCTAAGATGTGCCTCTTTTGGTGCCAAATAAAATTATGGAAATTAAGATTTAGTTTTGTTATGAGCGAATTGAAAATGTTTAAAGATATTTAGTCAGCTATTCTTTGAAGGAAAAACAACAATTAGAAATGGCCCATATGCTTACACATTTGTTATTTTGAAGTGTGGATAATTGGGTTCAAAAAACTTCAATAACTCAATAAATAAAAGCGACCCCAATGCTTTAACAATTGTAGAAAATTAAGATTTAGTGTCATATATTTTGCTTCCATTTGCATTATGGATTTCGATTAGTTTTAATGAAATTGTTAGGGCTTTTTTTTTTTTTAATTTGAATTTGAGGTTTTTTTTGGTTATTTACTTTTAATTAAAAGAATATTTAGTTTTACGTATCATTATTTTAATGGTTTATGTATTTTTTTATGCATTTAATATCTTTCAAAATTAGCTAACACTGCATAAAGAATTAATTACATACAAATAAAATTAAAAATCCAAATCGAAAATAAAAAAAAGATTATTTTTTTTATTTATTAAAATTTAATTTCATGTTATTTTAAAAAATATATTTTTTTTATTGAAAACATGTATCAATTAATCATCTTCATGTATATGTATGATATGGTATTTAAACGAAGGCCGGGATTTAAATGTATCAAAACAAAAAATCATTTTATTTTTTTCTAGAAAATAACTTTGTTTTGATGCAAAACAACAACAATTCACCTTATTTTGCGCACAACGATGTCGCTCAATGCTGATAGGTTTCACTATGAATTATCAGCCCTCTACTATTATAGAAACAACATTAGGATGGTAAAGAAATAAAATTATCGTGCGAAATTTAACATTACTCAGTAGAAATTTAAAGAAATAGAAGAAATGTTATGTGATGATCATAAATAAATAACTAATTAGATGATTGTTGATTTTTTATTTTTTATTTTTCTTTAAAAAAGAAATACTTGCTTGGATGTGCTTCTTTTGGTGCCAATTTTTTTAAAAAAGAATGCAATCCATAGAAAATTCTATAAATTAAGATTTAGTTTTGTTACGAGCAAATTGAAAATGTTAAAGATATTTAGTGAGGTGTTCTTTGAAAAGAAAACAATAATTAAAAACGACTCATACGTTTTAAAATTTGTTATTTTGAAATATAGATAATCGAGTTCTAAAAACTTCAATGATTAAAAGGGATTTGTATGCTTTTTAACAACTTTGGAAAATTAAGATTTATTGTCATGGATTATGCTACCTTATTTAGCACTATGGATTTAAATGAGTTTTAATCAAACTATTAAGGGCATGAGGGCTTTTGAATTTTGTTTTTGAATTTGAATTTAGGGTTTTTTATTGTTATTTTACTTTTAATTAAAAGAATATTTAGTTTTATGTGTCGTTATTTTAATGGTTTATATATTTTTTACTCATTTAATATCTTTGGAGATGAGCTAACACTACATAAATAATTAATTACATACAAAAAAATTAAAAATCTAAATTAAAATTAAAAAAAGATTATTTGTTTTATTTATTAAAATTTAAGTTTATGTTATTTTAAAATATTGTCCATTTTTTTTATTGAAAACATGTACTAACTAATTAATCATCTTATACATATACATTCGTCTAGGGACAATGAATGTATGGGAACAACAATTTATAATACCATATGATATGGTATTTAAATCATTTTAAATTTTTCTTGAAAACAACGCCGTTTCAATGCAAAACAGCAACAAGTCTCCTTATTTTGCGTATAAGTATATAACGATGTCGTTCAGTGCCAACATTCATAGGGACGACTTTCTTTCTTCTCTCAAAGACCCACCCTGTCGTTTATAATCAAACTCTCTTTTGAAACCCTCACTCTCTCTGTTTCTCAATGGCACGAAAACGCTCCCCTCCCGTTGAAGATCCACCTTCTGCTTCTAGCTCTGAAGAAGAAGAGGAAGAAACTTCCAGTGGTGAAGAAGAAGAGGTATCTGATGATGAACAAAGTCAACCCTCTCCTCCTCAACCACAAAACAAAACCACTCGAACCCAAAATTCAACCTATAAAAAACCCGAACCCACTACTCAAAAATCTGAATCAGAGTCTGGGTCGGAGTCAGAATCCGAATCAGAATATGGGTTGGAGTCAGAATCCGAATCTGAATCCGAACACAACCAGACTGTCAAGCCTGTGATTGACCCCAACAAAGGAGGAGACAGCAGCCAAGGAATCCAGATCTGAACCGGCTATAGATGCCACTCTGGAGAAATCAACAGCCGTGAAGAGGGGTCACGGAGCCGATCGCGATCAGAAAGACTTGAAACGAGCTAAGAACAAGGAATCCGAGTCTGAGAAGTCCGAAGATTCCAAAAAACAGCTCTTTCAAAGGTTGTGATCCGAGGCGGGTGAGATTGCATTTTACTACATAGAAAGGTTATGACTCATCAAAGAAAATGAATGCGTTTTTTCGATTTTATGAAAGGGAAAAAAAGGCGAAAATAATGATTTTGATTTCTGGAAAATTATTTAGTGCATTGAAGGAAGTATTAAACCTAATGGAAAGAAAAGTGATAATAGTAATGATAATAAGACAAGGAATACTAAGAAATTAGCGTTGAAGGCTGAGTTGGATATGGATGTGGAGAGTGGGACAGAATGAAAGTTGAGATGGAGAGAGATTCAAGTGTCAAAAAGGTGTCGAAGTTCTATGTCAATTCGAGTGTTGGAAGAATGGATAATAATGTTTCGAGGAATCGATTGAATTTTGCGCATGGAAGCGGAATAAATTGATACCAGAGCAAGCTGAGTTAGCAGAGGTACATGTGTAGGAGTTTGTTTTTAATTGAAGTAAACGTTCGTTCCCTTTTGTTTAGGTTTTGTTTTAGATAATATTATCCTTAATTCTTTTGTTCTGAGATTAGTGGATTGCTTCTAATTTTTCATATTCATTGTTCGGTTTATTGTTATCTGGCCAAGTGTTTTTTCATAGATGCCCTTAAATTCATCTACAAAATTATGAAATATATATTGTATTTGCAGAAAGAAATATATATTGTATTTGCAGAAAGAACTGCATAAAAGTATGTTGTTTAAATTTGCATATAAAGGAAACATTCTCTCCTAGTCAATATATCCTTGAAAATAAGTTTGGCAGATGATGGAAACTAACGGCTTCAGGGGAATTGACGGATAACTTTTGAGATTTTGTTTTTTATATGTATATCTGCCTTATGTTGGATGATGTCAACCCCACATGGGTTAATGATGCTGAGGGATATGAGTCTTAAAGATATTGCCATACATACATGCCCCATTGATATCTGATATTCTAAAATAGAGCAAAAAATTCTGATCCACTTTAAACAAATATACTTTGGCTCCATTTTCTATCAACATTCTTTTGGACTTTTCCTACTGAAGGCTCAAGAAACAGAACATTTGATTTCATAACTAGCCAGATGGACTGGAGAAGAAATTGGGCTTTATTGAAGACTGGGGATGTTTTATCTGTGATGTATAATTCTCAGGTTTGCTTCATTGTATTTCTGCTATTAGGTGTCTTATAAAAGTTTCATCTGTCATTTGCTTGCTGAAAGTTTTGCGAGTTATATGAAAAAAAGTGCTTATGCAGGAGGGCGTAGGGAAACAACTCAAAAGTAGAATTGAGAGCCTGCTTTATCAGGAAAGAAGCAAATGCACTTCTTGAGAGTTCTTGAATAGAGTCAAATAGTTGAGATTGTTCTGATGGAAACATAAAGCATAGAGAAAATCCCACTGCATCTTTATGTCATTCCCCTTGCAACATAAGTGAATCTGGGTTCAGGTAAATGGACATAGGAACATTTCAGCTGTTTGATTTCCAAACAGATGACAATGGAAAGGCTAGTTTAAGCCTCCATTACTTGTAACTATATATGTTCTGGACATGGTAAAAGCAGTGAATCTTTGTTTGCCTTTCTTTCAAAGCACCAGTAGAAGGTATTGAAGGATCAGAATTCCATCAGCTGGATCAGTCAACTGAATCACGAATAAACCTTTCGGAGCACGAGAGAGAGACCTAATCTGATTACCAGAATCCTGTCGAGGGCTTTGGGGTCAAATTCACTAGAAATGTTAACGTATGTCTTGGGTTTAATTTCATGATGCAGGAGAGTAACAAGCTTCCCACGACTGTCAAACCTTGCTTTAATCGTTGTTAGATCATCCCTGATCCATGTTCCTCTAACTACAAGCACATTCTCCTTTTCCGAAAGCGACTGAGAGATTACTGCTGCTGCTGCTGCAACTTTCTTCTATTGGCAAAATAATGAACACATGATGCCCTTGGTAAGTTACCCTTGTTTGTCCTGAAAAAGTTAGAGAGAATGAGTTGTCTTAAAGTCTTCTTCCTTGTTTAGGCAACAGTGGATAAAAACAAGAGACAGGCAGTAAGCATGATTACTATTAGCAGGTTGTTTATCTTATAATTAATATGTTGCTAGATTAACTAGGAATATTGGTTCATATTTTTCACTCAGTGCAGGAAAAAAAACTTAAAAAGTAATTGATCCTTCAAAATCTGGCTTTGTCACGCGAATGCCTGCATTAAATTCTCGAATTCTTTTAGATGAGATACCATATATGGTCTCCTCACCAAATGCAAGGTGTGAAGTACCAAATGTTGCAGACAGCTGAATTACCGACCGGTGGATCGAAGGAAGTCTCATAGATAAAGCTACATTTTTGTAGAAATATATAACTTGATGTGAAACTAAAAGCTGATCATTCAATGGACCACAGAAAAAGGTTATTAAATTTCTCACTGAAAATGCATTGACCAAAATGAAATTAGGAAAACAGAAAGCTTTGGTTCAATTATTAAAAAAACTGCAAATAATTTGTCGGCACTTTGAGTTTTCTTTTTCTCTTTAAAGTCAAATACCCAAGTTTTTAGCTTACCTAATCTTTTAAGATTTGAACCAAGATTTCTTATTGCAAGAGACTACTATCACAATCTCTTTTGTATTGACACTTGAGCTGTACTGTACTATTGTTGTCCTGATTATAGATGATCTCTACACTTTTTTTTTTTTTTTAAATGAAGTAGCTTAATCCAAAATGCAAGATTTTGACGAATTAAAGCTGTTATCATCATATATGGTTCAGGAAGTGGCGGATTTTTTACTAGCTATTTATTTGTTTTTCGATCAATTTGGATAAGACGAGTGATAAAATTCCAAATTTTTGTTCGATTTGCATATGTGGTCTCAATGTATGTGATCATTTGAGTAAGAAACAAGATAATTCATGGAAGGAAACAGAAAATTTACAGTTTCTTTCCTTCTTGGAGAATCATACAGTATTCAATGTTATTGAAGTTAGTAACCTTACCATCAGAATCTTACTCAGGTTAAACAAAAGCACACTCGTACTTTTTCAGAGCTGTGATCAAGCAATTTCTGTGGGAATGTATTCTTCAAGGTTGGCGATATAGTGCTCAACTAGTAAGCTTTTTATGACACGCGGCAAGTCGAATAAAATATATTTATTTTAGTTTAATAGTTTATATTATGTTGTTGGTCAATTAGAATATATAAATTTTAAGGTAAAAGAAAATTTTCATTTAATTTCATAATTTTTATCAAAATTTTGTATTTAATTTATTTTATCTTATATTTTTTCAGAAATTTTATTATTACAAAAACTCAACTCTTATTATTTAAAATTGATCACTTCAATTTACTATTTTTTATGAAAATTTTTATCAAGTTAATTTTTATTCTTTCTTTATGTATATAATTTTATTTATTAATAAATATGATTTATTTTTTTGCTATATATGGATTTTTGAATAAGTTTTTTTAATAACTAAATTAAAAATAAAATTTACATGTTTTATTTTTTATATAATTAAAATATATCAAAGCTAATTTTGTAGTTTTTTTTTTAATTTATTGTAGTCTACTAATTTCAATATATTCCTTACAACTTAAGTTTTTTTTTTAAAAAATATTTTTTTAATTTATACTGCACACTCTAACACACTAATTATGGTCATGATATATATTAAGATAATTTGTTTTATGGAAAAAAAATATGCATCTACTTATATAACACCAACTATTTCTTATTTTTTTTAATATTATAAAATTAATTTCACCATGTTTTGTGCAGAACGACGCGGTTCAACTGGTTCAGCACTAATGGGTTTGAATATTAATTATCTACTCTCTACTATTATAGTAACAACATTCGGATGGTTAAAAATTAAAATTATTAGGAGAAATTCAACAATAATCAGCAGGAAACCAACATAATCACGATCTTATCTTCCTTTGAAACTTGTTTAGGGACAACTTTCTTTCTTTTTTCAAAGACCCCCTCTAACAACAACTGTTTACTTTTATTTTTTTAATATTATAAAATTAATTTTAAGATAGTCTATAGCAGTTTGTTTACCTATCCCCATGTTGGGCTCTCCCTATTGAAAAAGCCACAAAAAAACCAATGGAAAAAAAATTCTAATGAAGAAAAAATAATATAATATTCTTTATACATATTAATCCCTATGTTGGGCTCTCCCTATTCTCAATCTTCCGAATCATATTCTCAAAAGTTGTGGTAGGTAATTTCTTAGTGACCAAATTACTCGAATTGTCACTTGGTTGAATTTGTTAAATATTAATATCATCATTCCGTTGAAGATCATGTTTGAAAAATAATTTTGATGACATATGTTTCGATCCGTCACATTTGATGTATCCTTTTTTGGTTGAGTTATACAAACAATTTTATCTCTAAATAATATTTTTGAAACTTTCTTATTAATGGATGAACTACATGTCTCTCGGACATGATGGATCATTGATTTTAGCTAAATACATTCTCGACTAAGCTTATGAATTACTAATATTTTTGCATAGTTTGAAAATATAGCAGATAAAGCTTCCTTTATAGAATGTCATAATATAATCGTATCACTATGTATAAATACATAATCGGTTTATATTCGAGCTTTGTATAGATCGGAAAATAATTTGCATCTACATAGCTAATTAAACTTGAATTTGATTTATTTTAATAAAATAAATGCCATATCAATTTTTTCTTACAAATAACGTAGTATATATTTAATTTCATTCTAATATCTCCGTATTAAAACGAAATTATGTCTTGTTAATAAATTTACGGAAAAAAGTTATATCGAGTCGAGTATTTTTAGCAAATATCAACACATTAATTGCATTAATATATAGTAGTTCGGGACTAAGTAGCTCTTCACTATCTTCTCGAGGTCAAAAAGAGTTTTTTTAAATACCAAATGAACAAACTACCATTGAGCTAGTTAATGGATGAGTCTTATCCATATAGAACCATTATACAACTTTTTCTATATAAGTTGATTGATGAATAAAAATCTCATCCTCTAAGTGTTCGAACCGTAGGCCGAGATAAAATTTTATTTTCTCAAAATCTTTCATGTCATATTCTCCTTTTAGATAATTTATGACACTTAGAATCTCTTTAAGAGTTTCAATAATATTTGAATCATCAATATATTTAGCAATTATCACAAAACCTTTTTAGGATTTCTTTATAAAAATACATAAACAAATAGAGTCATTTTTATAATCTTTTTTCAATAAATAATTATACCATATGTGTTCGGATTAGTAATAAAGAGTAGATATTAAAAAATAAAAAATAAATATAAAAATTATAGCATAAATTGAATTTATAAAACCAAAATAATAAAATAAATACTAAAATAATCCTTATAGGGGTATCTATAATTTAATTTAATATATTTTTTAAAGAATGTGTATTGCATGCATCAAATATCTTAAGTTCTTTTGAGACTTTTATATAGATATTGTTTTCAAGTGAATAAATAAGTTGTGATCACATTCATTAAATGCATATGAAGTTTTTCATTTGTTGCTAAGCTAACGAGATAATGAAATATAATTACATCAATTACGGGAGAATATGTCTCTTCATAATCAATGTCGGGTTTTTGCAAAAAACCTTGTGTTGCGAGTCTTACTTTGTATTTCATAATTTCATCTTTCTCATTTTGCTCTTGCACAAATACCTATTTTTATAGCTTAACATCTTCGAGTGTTTTGACTATGGGTTCAAACTAAATTGTTTCTTTTTATTTAGGCCAACCATTTCTATGTTGACATTTTTCAATAGATTTAGGCTTAGGATCCATAATTTCATTAAAAAATATCAATTGTAATATTATATACAAAAATGTTATCAACATATATTTCTTTTTGGTCCCATTTTCTTCATGTATTAATATAATTTATCGAAATCTCTTGATTTTTCTCAAGCATTTAGACTTCTTCGAAAGCCTATTATCAAAAATATTTTGGATCATTTTGTGAATATATACCTCCTTTATATTTTCATTTTGATTATTTTCTCTTATTTTTTTTCTAAAAAACTTTTGTCTTTAAAATCGATCAATCTTTCTCGCTTCGGACGTGCTTTAGATTCATTTGCATTAATATTAATGTATTGTCCTACCGAGACATCAATTCTAATAGGAGCATTCTTAGTGAAAACATGCATTTTAGCTACTCTTTTTGGATATAAGAATACATATGGCGATTGGCTTGCAAGACTTTTTAAATGAATTATCTTTTAAACTTCTAGTTCACAATGTTTTGTATGAGAATCAAGATGAAATAATCTATGTAATCTCTTCTTTTCAAGATTTTCAACTACTTATTTTTCTTATTCTCTCCCTCTAATGTTGGAAAATTATTTCATCAAAATGACAATTGGCAAATAAAGTTGTAAAAATATTCTTCATTAATGGTTCAAGATATTTAAGTATCGAGGGTGATTCATATCCAATGTATATTTCTAATCTCTTTTAATTGTCCATTTTAATTTATCGTGGAGGGACAATAGGGACATATACTTGCATAATTAAAAATTCATAGATGAGAAATATTTAGTTAATGACTAAAATTCAATTGAAGAGAGAATTTTTGATAAGTTGTGGGTTTGATACGAATAAGTATTGCTGCATATAAGATTGCATGTTTTCAAGCATAAACAGAGAGTTTGATTTTCATAAGTAATGGTCTAGCTATCAATTAGATCCTTTTGATAAATGATTTTGCTAAGCCATTTTGAGTATGAAGATGAGCAACGAGTTTAATTTTTATTCTAATAGCCATGCAATATTAAATGCTTAATAGGTAGATTTACCGAGTATTGCTAAGGCAAATTATTTTAATAACATAATTTAGAAATTGTGCTCGTAATTGAATTATTTGAGCAAACAATCTCAAAAACGTCATGTTTCGAGTTGATAATAAGCATACACGTGATCATCTTATGAATGCATCTATTAAAATCATAAAATGTCTAAACGGTCTACATGGTGGATGAATTGATCCATATATATCATTTTGAATACATTCTAAAAATATAGGGAATTCAATTCTAATTTTACTTGGTAACGACTTAATAATTAGTTTGTCTTAAAAACGTACGTAACATGAAATAATCACAATTGTAATGATAATTATTTTGACCACGACTATAACTATGTCCACATCTATAGCCACGACCATGTCCTCATTCATATCCAGAATTATTATAAGTTGTCACATTCACTTCGGGGATAGAGTAGACCTAATTAGACGTGATTCATGATTTTTTTTTTTATCAATAGTTTGTTATTTTATTTAACCACAAGCAAAATGAAATCTATTTAGAATATTTCTTAAAACTCTTTTTTCTTGATATTGTCTGTTATAGAAGCATATTTGAGGTATGAGAAGTAAAGAATGTTTTCTCAACATTAATCATATATAATTAATAATTCTTGCTTGAAATGTCAAGGGCCACAAAATCAAGTTTTGGGAGGTTTGATATGATAAAAATTCTATAATACAAGATATAATAATAATGTTAGAAAATAAAAACAAATATAATAATAAAATTTAAAATTTTCAAACAATATATATTAAATCATTCAAGTTTTTTAAACGTATACTCAAACGTATCATTAGATTTAAAATAAAGAATAAATTAGATACATACTTGTTAATGATCTAGATAATTTAAATTTTTTTGATAGAGTACTCGTGTAGAAAAATAATCTAATGATTGAGGTTTTTGATAAATACATACATTATAGTCCATTATCTCGGTTTATTAGAGTTTTATGCCGATAACGTGTTATAAAAGATATGATAACAATAATAAAATTGGAGAGAAAAAATGATAGAAAAATAATTTCATTATGAAATAAAGTGAATACAAGTGACGAGTAACTCCAAACAATTTTCTCAATCTTTACAAATATATTTTAACATAAACTGATGAACAATTAAACCTATTTATAAGCTTCAAGAGTGGAAAGAAAATAGAAAACAACTATGAACGATTAAAAAGTGTATAAATAATTAAACCAATTACATCGTTTTTTCAATTTCTCATTTATGAGCAGTGAAAATATGAAATGAATATGAATATTCATGTACACAATCCTTATTTCATAACATTTTTATCATTATTCAGACTGAGACAATCTGTATACACACACAGAACGAAATAAGGAAAGGTCTTGAAACTAATTAAAATGTGGAAACAACTCTTCGTATTCCTAAACAAAAATTCTAATCTGAGGATCATGCCAAAACTCCCAAGTATTTTCAGTATCAATTCAGGCTACTAAAGGAGTGGCATGCTTGTAGCTCTGATTTGTCCTTGAATCTTCCACTGCTAGGCCTTGCTCACCAAAGCAAAAATACTCGTTCATCAACTTCTTGTTGAAGGATGCTTGTTTATGTTTCAATGGTTGATTTGAGTATGAGGTTCCTGCAATATCAATATCCTTTTCTTTATCCAATGAAATGGGCGAAGACTGCATGGATGATCCTGAAAAGGGACTTGGAGGCGACCTAACTGGAACAGCTAAATGTTGTTTTGCTCGAATAACACCATGCATTAGCCCCATGGTAAATTTCTTCCTAGTTGATGGACTTGGAAGAAGACTGCTCCTTCCAGAAAGTGTCCTTTTGTTGGTTGAGAGGGAAAACAGTTTTGAGTATCTCTGCCGGAGAGGAATAGGACGGTCTTCCAAGGTTTGGGATAAATTAAATGAGTTTAAAGAGTCATTATCTTCTGATTCCAATGAAGCAGCTTTTTTCTCTTTCCTCCTGGGCAACTGAAGGAGAGACCTAAGACGCCTTGCAGCATTATTTACAGAGCCTGATATTTTGTTGTCCAACGAGTTACCTGTGTCAGTATCACTTGGATCGCTCAAGCATGAATTATCACCAACACTTGTGTGATCGCAACTGGCATCAGATGCGTTCTCAATACCCGTGTACAAGAATATCTCTGCATCTGAAATTCTAAAAGAGGTGCCAGGACTCATTCCTATACCATGCCCTTTCAGATGAGAAACAATAACACTTCTGGCAATGTTATGACGATTAGAGATCCCTCCAGCTGAGATCAGCTGCTTCATTAAAATTTCAGAAGATGCTGATCTCGGCCGTTGCTTGAGGAGATCTAGTGGAGTCATGGCATCCGCATCACGAATGTTTAAGTTGATTGATGGTACAGTCATGAGAAGTTCCACCAGATTAGACTGAATATTCTCAATTACAGCCAAATGAAGGGCTGTTCTTCCGTCATTGTTTTTGATATTGATCACATCCTTGATATTCACAATCTTACCACTCACTAACTGCTTGATGAGCTCAGTCTGCCTATCCATTCTTCGAAAACCAGAGGTTCGAAAACCTGACACTGCCATATGGAGAAAAGTATCTCCGTAGTTATTTGTAAAGGAGGCGAGTGAGGGAGATGCAAGTATCAGAACCTCTGCCACAGCCAAGTAACCCCTGTAAGCAGCCACATGTAGTGCCATGTTCCCTTGATAATCTTTGTGGGAAATGATATCGAAGGATGAAATTAGATCCTTAACTACCTGCACGAACGGGATAAATGATTCTGTGACTGTCATCTTTCTTAGCTCCAAGGATAATTTAAGGGATATCGCCATGAAGAACAAAGCAGATTCATCGTATGCATGAGCACAAAATTGAAAATGAAGGGATAATAAGAACAAAAAGGACTCACGATGAGTGTGCAGTTACATGCCAGCAGAAAGGCTCTAGATATAAAATACCCGTCCACGAGAGTAGATAAGAGTAATCATGACATCTGATAGCTAGTTCATCAAACAGAAGTGAAAAAAAAAAAAAAAAAAACTTATTTAATTCTGTTGGCCATTTTTTTCAAGAAAGTAAGAGTAAACTCTTATAGTAAGAACCAGCCTTGCCGAGAGAGGAGGTGAATTTGGGAATCTAAAGTGGCAGGCAGACACGGACTTGCCAATGTATGTATTCTAGGGCCAACAGTAGTATGCAGCGTATCACAGAAAAGGCTAATGCCTATTTGATAAGTCAGGGTTCTCGATTTGAATAAGGCCCAAAAAATAAGAAATACTGCTAATTGGCATCTGAACCGCCGAAATCCAAATGGCACACTGACATATATACATTTCAAGGATGGCAGGTCTAGGAAATGGAAGTTTGAATGGAAATGGCATTGTGTACCTGAACTATTGCGTGTGGCTTTGTTTCATTTTTTGAGGAGCTCGTCGAAATTCTTGGTCTCAAGTACCATTTGAGAAGAGTTAGATAAAAATTACAAACGCATATCAGTATAGCATATGCTTATGAGTACAAAATAGTATAACCAATAAGCAGAGTTTAATTCTAACTTCATGCTTTAGTTCTGTCTGTGCTGCAAGCAGTTTCAGAATGTGCAAGTCATGAATACCACACTACGGATTAGTTGCTACTCTAACTAAAATACGTTTTTCATATGGCACTTATAACCTTCAACACACATGCACAAACAAACCTGTATATTAACACATTCTAAAATCATAGCTAGACAAATTCACCTAAAGCAATCAAAGATCCTCACTTCTCACACAAGGGAGGAAATTAAACCAGCAGCAATGAAGGAGTCTAATCTGAAGCATCACAAAACAGCCCCCTTTTTCAAAAAGGGGAGAACAATCTTTCACTATCAGCCATTTAATGTTAGATGACTGTTCTTTCTACAGCATAATGACTTAAAGTACTCGAAGATGTACTCAGAAAAGAGGACAGGAATGACAACCATGCACTGGCAAACTAAAACAATAGCAAAACTTGTGACCATGAAACTAAAAGTACAAGAATGACAATCTAAAGCTACTGATGAAGCATAAAACAGAATAGACCTTACCTCGACCTGCCCCCTCCCTGCAGCAGCATGTAAGACAGTGGACCCTTGAGCATCTCTATATAGAAGAACATCCGAGCAATTTCCTATAAGCTCCTTCAAAATCTCCAAATTCCCACCTCTAGCCGCAGCATGGACAGCTCTATTCATCATCTCCCACTTAAATTCCGAACGACTCTCACTCTGCTGCTCCTCCAACTCTCCTCCAGAGCCAAGGCCACATCGCTGTGAAATAGAGACATCAAGCAAGAGCCTGAAAACCTCAGAATTCCTGCTCCTCGCTGCGGCATAAAATATGTCAGTGACACCATATTCTCCTTCTCCAAAAACAAGAAGAGGGTCTCTCTCCAACAATTCATTGACAAAAGCCCCATCACCTGCTGAAGCAGCAGTGTACAAAAGCCAACCACCATATCCAGCTCTAATGAGAGAGTTGCGACCTCTTTTTGTTTCACATTCTAGAAGTAGCTGCCTGGCTACATGAGAACGACATTTGGCTACATCATTGAACTGCTCGTCGTCGTCCCAAACAGTTTCAAGCCGACGAATCCGACGAAGGGAAGTGAGTTTGATGAGGAGATTGGTATCAAGGTAGAGAAGCTCCCTCACCAAGTCATAGTGGCCATTAGCAGCTGCAAAATCAATGGGCGACGCATACCACCACTGATCTCCAGTGCTTTCCCACCTAAGAGGGAAGTACGAAGGTGGCATTGTTGCCTATATTCAACAATAAAAACCAGTAACAATTAGCAGAGTTCAGGAAAGACCCAGCACAAGTTTTAATCAAGAAAATGCAGAGAGTTCAAGAATTTAGCGGGAAGTTGTGACAATGAGAGCAAAAGTGGAAAGAGTGAAAGGCCATTAGCTAGTAATGATTGCAAGTTTAACCTTTTAAAGTCGAATCGATTCTTTTTAGGTGAGAAAGTATTTGGGAAAGTTTCAAGGATAAGGAATCTTGGAATTCAGGAATAAAAAATCAGATCAGGTAGCAAGACAACTTGTGGTGGGAGTTTAAATGAAGCACAGGGGAAGGAACAGATAAGTATCAACCCCTTTCAAAAGGTAGGTAGAGAAGCACGAGGGAACAGAACTCAGGACACAAAAACGAGGCAAAAAGAGAAATTGTTGCTCAAATGAGGCTAAACTTTCAATAAAAGAAGAAGAGCATTCAAGTGAAAGTTGAAGAAATGAATGGAGGATAGGATACATGGTTAAAGAGCTCCACCAACCTTTCAACTATTTGCAGAAGATAACATATAGAAAATGTCCACTTGATTTTTAGCCTTTTGGGAAATTTCTTTCTTTCTTGTGGTGGAGAAAAAGAGCGTGCATTAGATTCCTTTCGGCCCGTGAAAGAGAGACTTTAAAAGTAGGATTCTGTTATTTTATTTCAAGAAAATGAAGGACAAATGGGTCTACACTCTCTACACCATTTCACATAGCATTCCTATCTTTGGCTTTTTGCATCAAATTCTGTTGAGGCTAATTTACATCATCCCCTTCAGTATTCTAATTTTGCATTCTACACACAAGAAAGCGTTATCCAGGGGTCTTCACAAATACTATGTCCCGAGCCAGGCCAACAACTTACGAGAACTTGCGTCATGGGACAAAGAAAGTCATGCAACTCATTGTCCGGCCAGTTAATTATGATGAAGGACAGAGACAGGCAAAGGCCACTAGTGGCTTAAATCTGCCGTTGAAGTGACTAAAAGTTCGTTAGGCTACACTAATCAATAACCTGCACCTAACTGCTCATACAAACCATCAGGCAATCAATTTAAGGTTTCGTCAACTTTTCCTCTAGGAGTTGAACACATGATTACGTCGCAAGTTTTCTCCTTTGATTGGTTGTTTTCTTCGGCAGTTTAGTGTTGAAGTTGATCCAACAAGAAACTAGCTGCTTGAATCGATACAACGAAAGCCTGTTGTTGATTCAGTTGTCTTCAAATAAATTTGCTTTAAAGAGTAGCACAATTAGCTATACGTTGATGATTTTAATTTTTGACATCAATGGTTGGTATTAGGAGTGAGCGATAAAAGATTAATCTAACCAACACAATAAATATGAAAAGCTAACTTGACCATCTTTGTATGAGATGAGGTTTGAAGATTACCTCAACGCTAATTAGCTATTTGTTGATTGATGAATGCGACCATCCTTTGGTTTCTTCTATTCAATTCAAGTGCACTACTATTGTTTGGTAGGTTAATGACATTCCTTTGAAGGCTCGCAAATATTAGAAGATTGATTAGCTCATGAGATGGTCCATTAATTGTCAATTTATTGTAAGAGCTGGATCCAACCATGTGTTATGGGTAACATAACATGCCGATTGATATTTTATTAGAGCAGTAGGTCCGTGCACCCCAAAAGGCATAAAAAGAGAATATTTTGACGCTTTCAATTGAACAAATTGGACTGTACAAAACTCACTAATCTCTACTTTAATGACAAGAAAATCAAAATTAATACAGTAGCCAATCCAAATTTCATAGTAATAATCTCCCTAGCTATCACTAATGTATCTCTTCTCTAATCTTGTTACTGCCCTCGATCACTTCTAAGTATTGCCGGCTCATCAAACCGACCATCAAATATTTAAGCCAAGCCATGTAACATTGTGTATGCTGTTGAACCTATTCTGTGGCGTTTTATCAACCTCTCTTTTCTACGAAAGCAACACTTCTTGAATTACCTTGTTGTTTAAGTGGTTGAATTTCTGAATGAAGTCCTGATCATGAAGTGGACTCTCTGTTAATTTTTATTGTTCATCCATGTACAAACAGGAAGCTTTTCCCTGGCAGATTGACACTTTAAAATATACATGAGCAAAATTTACAGGTTTACCTGATAAAATACTCGAAAACTGGCCCACATTGCACATGGTTGGCTTCATTTTCTATGGGGATATCCCCTTGGAAGCAATGCCTGGCCTCATCCGGTCACTTCTTGGTTTTGTTTTACTTGTCATCACTTATCAGCAACATTGGATCACGAGATATGGTGTTCCTACAATTCTTTAGGGTTATCTGTCACACAGACAAGATCATGTGATGCGGCATCTCCAATGCGCACCAAATAGTCACACCAATAAATATAGATAACATACTAGAATGCAAGGACACAAACAGTGAAGATCTAAGCATTTAATGTACCAAATCGTTCAAAACTCACTGGATCCAAAGAGAAGAGACAAGCCATGTCATCTGGAATCTGTAGTTATGTGTATAAGCTCCAACTATAGTTTAGCCTCCAAACTAAAATCATGTCACCAACCAACCTATAAAAATAACCAAAACCAAGGGTAAAAACCACATTTTGCTTTCAGGACAAATCAGCAGTAGCCATTAGCATACTCTGTGTTCACAGGAAATCTTGCCTTCAACTAATTTTTGGTTATTCAAGGTGTGGACAAAAAGATCAGAATCAGTGAATTCAAAATATGGGATCTAACTGACAAGTCCACATCACCTAGGAATCACAAGTTACTAGAAAGAATAAACTAGGTTATTATAGAACCAAAACCAAAGTTGCCCAGATTATCAAACTTAAGAACTCGAGTCACCAGCTTAATGTACTGAGTACTGCAGTCAATGTTAGCAATGCAGGTCACTTTGCAGAGAATAGATAAAATTCATTGTTTCTCTCCTTTTGCTTTCATCATCCACCATTGTCACTATGCATTAACCTCACACAAAGTGTTGCCCCAAATTTCCTAAATTACTCATTAAATATGAAGTATACAGCTATCATGGTTTTGTAAGGGTGTCAAAACATTCACATCACATTTTAGGAAGGAAGCAACAGAATGTTCTGTTAATATTTTTCTAAAAGAAGAGGGTATTCAAGCAATGCAAAAAAACCATGAGTGTCTTTTTCAAGATAACTTCTAGTACAGAGAGTGTCCATATGAATTTGATGGAAAGAAACAAAAAGAACTCATGCAGAATAGAGCAATCTTTAGACAGCATGTTCATATCATATTCACTAGCAAAGAGCAAGACTCGTACACAACTAGCAGCTGGGAAGCAACTAAGAATCACATATAGTATGGTCCATTGCATTCTCTTGAACATTGCAAGGGACAGAAAATTTTGAATAAAAAAGATTATCCAAATATCAACTTTGTTCCCTAAAACATCTCATCCTGAAAACAAGAGCAGTGTTTCTTCAAGTCTATCTTGCATTAGTTTCAAATAAGCACAAATTGAGAAAATTTCACACAAATACTTCAATTGGACAATGATTCATTCATGATAGGTGAATGTATGCATCTGCCGGAATGTTAAGGAGAATACAAAGAATTATGGCAGGCTTTTGGTCAGAACTGAGTTGTTTGCATCATGGCCAGCTTCATGATGCTTCTTGCTACAGAAAATAAATAAATAAATAAATAAATAAACAGGTTGCTAATCAAGTAGCTGATGTAGCAAAGCAAGATCATTACTTGTTTATCATTAAAGATGATGGAACAGGGAATCACGGTGAAATTGACTTGTATATGGACTTATAGCCCCTTAGGACCACAGGAACCCCACTTGCTCTAGAGACATTGACACCCCTGCAATTGCCTTAGTAACTGCAGCCAGTAAAATAATTGCCTGTTTGGTGATCATTTTATGTGAGAGTTAAATCATTTTGTGAGGCTAATGACATCTATTTTTACATTTCTAACCACTGCAGTTTTGGAGGTCAAAGAACTATCAGTTCATTGAGTAATATACCACATTCTGCCCTGAATTTGCTTCTTTTGTTTTGGTTTTTAGAATAACACTGCATGAGTGAAGAATAGAATGTTTGAATCTGTTTCATGAGATTTGAATTCGATGAATCCCATTTATAGATAGAGACTTGAAGCAAAGAGGTAAGTAAAACATAGCAAGAGAACGGAAGACAAATGCATCAATTTCTAATAATAGCTAACAAGGATACAACTTGGTTTTTAACAAGATATTGATCACAATGAAATATGAATTGCTGCATCTAACATACTCAATATATTATTTTCTTCCTTATAGAACACAATTACTTATTTTCAGTAATGTGTTCATCTCTTTAGACTCATTTTGAATTTGTCTACAAATCTCATGACTAGCCATTCGATTTGATTCATCGTCAGGAAAATGACTTTTGCAATTGTGATCCAAACATTTGATTACCATCCCTGGATGATAGAAAATCCAATTGTAGACAGTACAAGTGCAAAAACATGAATTCAATCTACCAATTAGTTTATTTAATGATTAAAGTAGCAAAAGGAGTAAAAAAAAAAAAATTCCTATTAATGAAGGCATGTATAATGACCAAAAATAGCACCAGCATGCCAAAATGACTCTATGGAGGACAAATAAGTTTACGAAGAAGAAAAGATTAAAAGATGTTCACCAGGTAAGCTTGTGCCTTGCATTTATAATTTTTTCATGTAATCTTCAATTTTCTCAGCAGTGTCATACATATTCTTTAGTTTGACCTCCTCCAAAAGCAAACGACATGTTTGATATTTAGGTACTATATCTTTACCAATCATTTCCTCAAACAGATGGTAAGCCCACTCGCATTTGTTTGCTCTGCAAAGGCCATGAATTAAAAGAGCATAGGCTGATCTATCAAGACTTAGCTGATGCTTTTTCACCATGTCATCCAATAATTGACTCAACAAATTCATGTCTCCAAGTCTAAAGCATGACTTAAACAATGGGTAGAATGTCTGGCCATCAAGCTTGCAAAGTGTCGACGTTTCCATCTCCTTGAGAAGAGTCAGGGCCTTCGATACTTGACCACGATGACAGAGCATAGCAATCATGCAATTATAGGTAGATGCATCACGGGAGATGCCGGTATTTGGCATCTCCTTCTCAAAAACATCAACAGCCTCTTGAAATCGGCCAGCTCTCCCTAGGATATGAATCAAAGAATTGTAGAAAAGCGTATCAGGTTTACACCCGGCTGACTTCATCCTCTGAGTTAGTTGTAAAGCCTCCTCAGCATTCTGCGACTTGGCCAGAAAAACAGTTATAGTGGTGTAAGTAACAACATTTGGTGGGCAGCCTTGCGCTTCCATTTCATCAAGGAGCTCATAGACCTTAGAAAAGTTGTACTGGCTGCAATAGAATAGGATGATGGTAGAGTAGCTGATTACACAAGGGCGACAACCATGACCTTTCATCTCTTGGAGAGTCCAGTGTGCTTCATCAACCCGATTGGCTTTACACCAACCATGAATAAAAATGTTAAATGTGCGAGCATCAGGAAAAATGTGTGATTTAAGCTCTAAGAAGATAACACGGGCCTGATCAACTTTGCTCTCTTTGCAAAGTGTGTCAAGCAACAAGTTCATAGACTCCGTGTTCTTTTCCAACCCGAAAGTTCCTAACCCGTCAAACATCCTCACAGCATCTTCCCATTTTCCTGCCCCAGAAAACCTTCTCATAGCCTTACCCACAGTCTTAAGTGTTAGTAGATGATTTCGATTCATCTCTTCTAATAACGCCCTCATTTGATCCATTTGTTTCATTTTCCCCAGAATGTCCACCATCATATCATACGCGTCAGGTCTATGTTTATATCCAGGGCGTAATCCAGCCCATCTAAAAACACCCAATGCAGATTTCCAATCATCCTTAAAGCGGAAGAGTAATTTGTCAACAAGGTCATCAGTAACCTCAATGTTATTGCACACTTGATCGTGCGCCAAAGACAGAATAATCTCATCAGGACTGCTTCCTACACGAGCTTTAGCAGCAACTAAGTTAACGTTGGACTGATTTCTGGAGTCTAGACACTTTTCTTGATGATCAGATGTAGTGGTTGTAAGCAGGGAAGATAATTGTGGAGAAGAAACAGCGTGAGAACAATAATCACCTCGACTAAAAACGACGCGGGCGTTTCTAAGACAGCTTCTTAGTACTGGTAACATGTTCAACTTGTCTTGATTTTTAATAAAATTGCGGCCACTAGAAACAAGTGGAAGTAAAAAGGGTACCTGAAAAACTTGAAGAGGTTAACCGCCAGCAATCCCTGAGCTAGCTTCAGCAGAGAAACTCCGGTGCTTGATTTTTGTGTTAGATGAGGATGCTATTTGGCTGCAATTACCGGCGAGCAAGCGCTTGGGTTTGCAAAAGCTAAAAAAACCTCAAGCGCAGTACCGGCCGGAACCACCTCCTTTTTCAGAGCAAGGATGGGCTGAATGGAGCTACTATAATTTGAGTTGGGTCCGGTCCATGATTATTGCAAGTTGTAGATTTCAAACAAGTTTTTTTTTTTTTTTTCATTTTAATATGAAAAACATAAATTAAAATTAAAATTTCAAATTTAGCCACTCTTGTCACTTTTTTTAGATACATTTTTGGAGGAAAATAACTTACTCTATCCTTATATTTGAAGCATTTATCTCTAATGCATTTTTATATGATTGAATGCATAAATTATATTAATTACTGCATTATTACTTTTTTTTTAATTAGAATATGATATTGACAAAAGTTAGTACCTATTGATTTAATTGGACAATTTAAGAATGACTTAAATGAATCCAAAAAACAAAAAGATTAATAGGGCAAATGAAAAGTAACGGAAACAAACAGAGATTAAAAAAAAAAAAAGGTTTTTCTTTCAAATAACGGATACGAAAGGATAATGACTGTTACAAAATTTCTCATGATTTATTTTTTAAAAAATTAGCTGACTATTTTATAATTAACTGCACGTGCCAAGAGAACTATTAAACAATTTTTGTAATAAAAAGTTAAGCTTAAAAAAAGGTCTTTATTGCGTATAGCGAGGCATAACATTCTTTACAATTTTTTAGTTTCAAGTTTAAACTCGTAATGATTTTAAGTAAGTAGTTTGCTCGCCATTTGAAACGAGTTACAAAGCTGTCGGACAAATGAAACAAAGCTCCATTAACCAACCACGTTCCTGGTTTATGTCCGCGTTGGGTTGGTTGGAGTGGGGTCTGTGTTTCTCTGGTCATGATCGAACCACTTTCATGCCATCGACAAAATGAGAAAGCAAACCAACAGTAAAGGAGAGGGAGCGCAAGAGAAATAAAGGATCAAACAAGAAAACATAAGCCATATGATACTGGTGTTTACATAGATAACGACAACTTCGGATGCCTTTCAAAGCCCTCGCTTGATGTCCAAAACCAAAACCAGAAGACGGGGCCCTTTGTTATTTTAAATTCCAACATTTAGACACCTATTCTAAAACCCTTGTACTCATAAACCACATTAAAGAAAAAAGAGACTCCATTCATCATTCATTCTTCAGCTTCAAGCTTGAGCCTTCGCCATGTGAACAATCAAGTCAACCACCCGTGAACTGCAAGAATGGAAATCATGTATGAGTTGCATATCCTTCGAACCTTTTGGAGGAAGGTAGCATGAATGCTAAATTGGGAATAGAAGGAAAGAAAGAAATATACCTGTAGCCCCATTCATTGTCATACCAAGAGACAAGTTTGACGAAGTTGTCGTTCAAAGCAATTCCGGCCTTGGCATCAAATACGCTTGACCTGCATTAAACAGAGTCTTTTTTGAGTCGCCGATATGAAGATGTCATGTATTCAGGCCCGCACTATCCACATACTCTACTAAAACAAACATTACAGCCTTTTTCCTTTTACCTGCTATCACCAATGAAGTCTGTGGACACCACATCCTCTTCAGTGTAACCCAAAATGCCCTTAAGGTTAGTCTCCGACTCCTCCCTGCAGATCATCCAAGTAAGCAAATAAGATCAGAATATAGACAAACTTGGAAGATTTTAACTAGAAGATCATTCTAACAAGCACGGACTTGACAGCAGATTTGATATCCTCGTATGTTGCCTTCTTCTCAAGCCTGACGGTGAGGTCAACAACAGATACATCCACGGTAGGAACGCGGATGGACATTCCAGTCAATTTTCCATTGAGTGCTGGCAGAACCTTTCCAACAGCCTATCAGATTGCCAATGCACGAAGCAGAATCAGGTCAATCAGAGCATTAATTTTAAGATAAACTACAAACGAACAATAATTCCCACAGACAAATTAAGCATCCTACCTTGGCAGCGCCGGTGCTGCTAGGAATGATATTGAAGGAAGCAGCCCTTCCACCTCTCCAGTCCTTCTTTGATGGACCATCAACAGTTTTCTGGGTGGCTAAATTGTAGGTTTACAGAGCATCAGAGCACCACTAATTTTCAAATTCAAATGCCAAAACAACAACATAAATCAGGATATAGCATGCAGCTTAGCTCACCAGTAATTGAGTGAACTGTGGTCATAAGACCCTCGACGATTCCAAACCTGTCATGGATGACCTGTAAATTAAGAGGCAAAGATCATGATTAGTAAATAACCAGTCCATTACTTACAGTTACAAATAAAAGTATTCATCGAAATAGATAAATACCTTGGCCAAGGTTGCAAGGCAGTTGGTAGTGCAGCTAGCATTGGAAACAATGTCGAGATCTGGAGTGTACTGCTTCTCATTGACACCCACAACAAACATGGGTGCATCTTTGCTTGGGGCAGAGATAACAACCTTCTTGGCACCACCCTGAACCCCCCGGAATAAAAAAACACATCAGCTTCTAATTCAATACAACATTCTTGATCTCAAATCAGATAAAAAGAAGATTTCGTATTAAATTAAAGCAAAACAGAGACCTTCAAGTGAGCAGCAGCCTTGTCCTTTTCAGTGAAAACTCCAGTGGACTCAACGACAAAGTCAGCACCAGCTTGAGCCCAGGGGATCTCCTCTGGGTTCCTATTAATTAGAAACAGGAATAAACATAAAAATCAAATCCCAGTAAAAAAAAACAGCAAGATAAATAAATTTTACTATCAACATTAGCAATATTTTTATTTTTATTTTTTTAACCTGATGCCGAAAACAGCGACTGCCTTCTCCCCAAAGAGAAGGGTATTTTCACCCTTAACCTTGAGCTCACTGTGCTTCCAGTGACCATGAACTGTGTCATACTTGAACATATATTTCTGCAGACCCCAAAAACGAAAAAAGGAAAAGAAAGCACATTTTATTAACAAAAAATAAAAACACGAACACCAGCAAAATAAAATAAAAATTACCATGTAGTCAGTAGAAATAAAAGGATCGTTAACAGCAACAAGTTCCACATCATCTCTTTGAAGAGCAACTCTTGCAACCAAACGACCGATCCTTCCAAATCCTACACACATTTTATTTTATTTAACATCAATCAATGATTAAAAAAAAATTAAAATCAAAACATATTAGTGATCAGGAAAATTACCGTTGATACCGATCTTAATCTTCTTATCAGATGCTGTTACATTAAACAAAAAAAAAAAAAAGTGAAAACAAATCAAACGAAAATGAAAATGAAACAAAAAACAGTGGAATGGGAAGACTTTATTATTATTATTACCCATTGCTGTTGTTAGTGAGAGAGATTAATGAGGAAAGTGAGTGCTAATTGAGGGTTATATAAAGGGTTGGGTGAGCAGTGAGTAAGTTAAAGTAGGCCAGGTTAGCGGTTTTTTTTTTTTCGTCTTTTTTTTGTCTTCCTTTCTTTTTCTTGCACAAAACGGAAGAAACATTTGAAGCCGCCGGTTGAAAATTTGAAGCCCTTTGTATCAGCCGCTGATTTTACCGTGGGTTTAGAAAAGTTAAATTCACGCGATTTTGTGGCATTTGAAGTCAGTTTTGATTGGTTGGTTATCTACGAGTGAGATGGTTTAGAAGGAAAGTATATTACACTTTCCCTAATGAGCGTGGGAGTTTTGTTGTTCTAGAGGGGGAATATTCGGAGTGATGTCCGGCGGGCTCCATGTCGGTGGGCTCCAGCAACAGAAAGTTCTTGTCGTGGATTTGTTGTACGAGCTCTCTGCGTGCCGTGGGCGCAAGGTAAAGATGTCTGAATTTGCTATTTTACAAGTTGCGTACTTTTCCTGCTGCCAAAAACTAAAGGGCAAACCTTAAAAATGTTCTCCTGATGTGTTGATAGTCGAAATTTTAAATACTAAAGTAATTTTTTGTACTGACTATCTCTCTAAACTTTCAAGATTTTTCAATTAAGGTTTGCATGCATTTTTAAAGCTCTTTTTTATATTTTTATGTAAATTGTGTACATTTAAAAAAAAAAACGTTATTTTGTAGAAAAAAATAACATTTTAAGTCAGGTGAGAAATCCTTATTTGAGAAATCAAAATAATTTATGAATAAAATTGACACAAAAAATAATTTAAATATAAAGTTGATACTGCCTAAATAGTTTGACATTGCATTTGAGATTTGCCCAAACTTCTACCCTGCGTATATGAAAATAATTTTGAAATAAATTTTTCACATTAAATTTCCATACATAGTGATGTGTCAATTTTCAAGTGATAAAGAGTGAATCTCATGTATTTTTATTTTTATAGGATGGGTCCTACGAATTGAAAATTACTGGGCTTTCATGACGTAAGTGTTTTTATGGAAATTTTTTATATAATTTTTTTTAAAAAAAATAGAGTATTTTTACAGTAATTATTAATATTTATTCCACGTGTTTCATTTAGAAAGAGAACGCATAAAAAGATGAAAGAAAAATCACATTCCAACCCATTAAAACTTTTTTTAAAAAAAATGCTTTAAGCAATAGTGTTCCATTGAAGTCTGATTTTCTTTAAAAAAAACACAAAAAAACTTTGGTACATAGCTAATGAGTTATAACTCTAGTATTACGTACTAGTGTGTTTCTGGTCTGTTCTTTCCAACAAATCTTGAGTACAACAAACAAACAAATAAATAAATAAAAATAAAGTGATGATATTATTACTTCTTGAATTGTTAATCCAACACTACACTACAAAATTATGGAGAGATCAACCTAACCTCTTTTTAAATTAGGCATTTTACTTATAGTATAATAAATAATCATATATCAATTTTGAGATTCAAAATAAATAGTTTGTATATTAATTTGTTTTGGAACTTTAAATCCTAAACTTGATCCCTGTTGCCTCTCCAAACATATTTTTAATTAGTTAGGATGCTATTTTACAAGTAAAAACTAAACGAATAGACCGTAAATGAATTACGAGCCATCCATTCATGTGATTACTGTGAAAGTTATTGGCGAGTTGCATCCATCAAAGTGCCGCCATATAATTTCTCATAATATATTTTTATTTTCTTTTTATTATGAAATGTTATTAAAAAAAAAAAAAAACTAGCAACAGCACTCTATTTTTACACTTTTTTTAAAAAAAAATTTGTTCAATAAAAATGTCGAGATCATATTTTTTTTAACTACCTCAAACCTCTAAGTAAAAAATTATCAATCAGAAGAAGATAATTGATGTTTCATGTTTTTAATAAACTAAATAATTATTAATTTATTTTAAAGATAAAATGCACTTTGTATGAAAATATTTTAACTTTCGATTTCAATTCAATGGTTTTTCAGATAATTTTAAGGCTAAATGCTATTTTTTTTGCTTGGAGGTTAGAAGTTTGATATAGACATTTTTATAGTTTGACATAGACATTTTTATTAATCAAATATTTAAAAGAGAATGCTAAAGAAAATATTGCTAGCATTTCTCGTGTATTATTATTTGATCAAACCCAAACATTTTGAAAGCTCCAATTAATCCCTCTCGTTAGTCTTTGTTAGTTAGTGGATCGGACTAGGTCAAATATATATATATATATACACACACTTATATATTCTGGCCAAAATACCTTTTATATTGGATAGATTAACCTTACTTTCTCCTAAAAATATATAGTTATTTATCTATTGACTCATTAAACAATATTTCTCGTTATTTATATATATCAAGAAGAAATTTTGAGATTGAAAATAAATTCACTTAAACATAAAAGAAAAAGTAATAAAAATTAATTTGCCAGTTCTTTTAATTTTTTTTTATTTGAAAGATGAAAACAATTCATTTCAATTTTTTTTAAAAAAACAATTTTCTCATCCAGGAAGCCTAAACACAAGTTGAAAACATGATCGAATAAGAAAATTCTTGAAAATGCTTTGGTTTTTGATTTAGGAGTGATTACAATCAATAACAGCCTAAAATATAAAAAATATCTGGAAAGTGTCTGGACATCTGGTTAAAATCACAATCAATATCAATAAAGAAAATGATTACAATCGATTCAAATCAAATATTTTTTTCCTTTTTTTCCTTTATATATGCATTTAAAAATGAATAACGTGAAAATTTTGTTTAGACAAATAATTTATAAACTATCTATTTGTTCTTGATAAAGTTGAAATTCATCTAATAAAAAAAGGATATTTGATTAGTATTAAAAGAAGGAGCTAATTGATATTCCATTAAACATTAGCAAATTGATTAGCGAAATTGTTTTTTTTTTTTTAATTCATAGTAGGCTCTTCACCAAGAAATTATTTATTAATCCACCTTAGGATTATATTTCGGACATCGGTTATATACATTCAATGTGGAGCATGGCATGCTATTAAGGATTCTTGGCAAGAGTTAATCAAGTATTCTGAAAGCTAACGTATGCAAGTGGCAAGAACAATGTACCTGAAGAACTCCTGGATTAATAAATAAGCGTATGGAGTCATTTTATCATTGACGATTTTTTTGAGCATGAGGCTTGACATCACTCCTTCCATGGTCTGTCCATGCCAGAAACTCATTGAAGGAATAAATGATTAGACACCAAGAAGTTGCTATTGTCATACTTCAGGGACCTTATGGACGATATGATTTTTTAAAACCTGCCTCACTATCTAACCAAATTAAAAAAGAAGCATACCGAAAAAACACAGGAAAAAAAAACGAAAAACAAAAACCAGTCTCACAATTTCAATTTGAAAAACGATTGTTTCTAATTAAAGTCAAGGTCATTAAAACAAGGGACAAGGCAAGATTGCCACCACTTTAGGTTCACTATCAAACCATGTTAAATAATAGCGGCTGACTATTTGTCTTACTTTATTTATTTTCAAGCAAGCAAAGCATGAGGTCGAACTGACCAGCTGGAGCAGAGATCCAATGTTGGCAGTGGCAAATTTCAAAAACGCAAGAGTTAATTAGGTAAGTTTTGGCGTCGCCCGGGTTCGAACCGGAGACCTTCAGTGTGTTAGACTGACGTGATAACCAACTACACCACGACACCACGTTTGCTATGATTTAATTTTAAAAAGTATCTAAAGACTAACGGATTGAAACTAAGCCAATCTAATTATGGAAGGTTTTGTGTTCGTAGGGAGCACGCAGAGAAGATTCGGGAAGACGGTGCATTTGGACTTGAAACGGCCGCCAATATAGGAAAGGAAAAGGAAACCGACTAATTCTATGGTTGGTAGGGTTTTGCTGATAATTTTTGACCTGTCCTTCTTCGTTTCCGCACGCTCTTTATTCCTACTGCTCCTCTATTTTAGGCGTTTGTATCAAATATAAAATCTCCGACCATCAACAACATTCCTTTCGGACTCTTCTTTCCTTTTTCTTTCTCCTTCTCTCGAAATTTAACTTTCTTGGAGAAGGGGTTTTCTTTCTCTGCTCTCCTTTACTCCGCTCTTGCAATCCTAACATGGCTTCCTCAAGATGGATAAGGCCTGAGGTACGTTCTTCAATTGTATTGCAGTTATCTTTCCGATCAATAGAAATCAAAAAATAAAAAAAAATTACTAAACGTTCTTTATGAGATCTCTTCGATTTGATATATATTCAACAATATTACATCTTATGCATCTTTCAATTGTTTTTGTTTCATATTAAGGGTGAATGGTTAGTAGAAAATAATTAATGTTTTCATTGTCTTATTTATTTATTTTTATAGCAGTTTCAGTCATTCGTTTTCATTCGTTTCCACATCATAATAATCCATAAATTGATTATTTTTTATGCAACTTTTAACATGTTTAGAATTATAGAGAGATTCCTCATTTTTCTTTTTTCTTTTTTTCCCTTTTTGGAATAGGTGTTTCCACTCTTTGCAGCTGTTGGCGTAGCGGTTGGCATTTGCGGCATGCAGCTTGTTAGGAATATATGCACCAACCCAGAAGTCAGGTAATGTTGTGCATTTGGATCCTTGATAATTAATTAATTAATTAATTTTATGAATAATTGCTGTGTGGTTAAGACCAATTTTAATATTTATAAACTATTGAAATTGAATACGGTGCGGCGGCTCAGGGTGACCAAAGAGAACAGGTCTGCAGGAGTGCTTGACAACTTTAAGGAGGGTGAGAATTATGCAGAACATCGTTTCAGGAAGTATGTCCGAAATAGAACCCCTCAGATCATGCCATCTGTCAACGGTTTCTTCTCAGATCCTGATCTTCCAACTAACTAAAACCGTTGATCACTCAATTTAGGATTGCATCTTTTCAAGTTTGAGATTTGGAGAAAGAAACCAATGCAAACAAACGCTATTTATTTGTTTTTCCATTGGAGGATAAGGAAGAGTTTGAAACATCGGGGTTATTCCATGTTTTGATAAATCATTTATCTCAACAGTATTGAGTAATTAATAAAGTTCTTCTCTTTTGAATTTTAGCTTCCTTCTCCTTGTACAACTACTTCTCTCATTTATTATATCCCCGATCTAATTTCGTCCTCAGATGTTCTTCTTGTGCGATTACTGATTGTTAATCCAGTACAAAGTTTGTCTTTTTTTTTTTTTTTTCCCTCTGTTCTATGGGAAGACAGACCCAGAAGACATGTATTGCCATAATAACTCATTGTCTCACTAGTAGCCATTATGCATGCCTGAAATGGCTGATCAGGCCAAGGTCCTCAATGATTTTATCCATGCGATTGGGAATGAGGATTGGTAGCCTCAACTTCCAAATTTAATTACGAACAAGTACCATTGAATTTAGTCCGCAGCAATCACAATCACAGGTTTTAGTCATGATGCCCCATTCTCATTAACTAAGAAGAAGACTAGAGGAAATTACTGACAAATTTCCTGAAACAGAACTCATGCCATGGTGAAAAATCTTATGACTTTTAATATTGCTTCTCAGTATTGCATCATTCTGGAAAAATAATGGGCCATAAGTTTTAATTTACATTAATAAGATGTGCTTAGAGGCTCTTCGTTTAATCCAGCCTATGACGTGCTATATTGTACCATATGGCAGAGGTTTCCAGTGTACTCTGTCGCCCATATTTTCTGTCTCCGCACTTGGGACATGATGCGCTTCAGGCTTTGTGCTGTAATGCCTTTGTCAAGACGTACATATTTTTGTTCAAGCCTGGCATTCCAAACTCTCATAAGACACGCTTGAAAGTCTGCGATCATGCTTGATTGTTTTTTATGCAGCATAAAAAATGCACTGCATCAGATGAGAGCGACAACTGGAACAAGGAAATAAATGGAAGTTCACAGATCAGCAAATCTGCTCGATTGGACATAACAGGACTGAATGTGTGCTTCAGTAGTTTTTGAAACTCAAGTTAATTTCCATTGCTGATGCTTTCGACTCTATCTGTTGTGGAATAATTCCTTCAAACTTTTGTCCGGAACAAGTATCTTTGGTAGCTAGAGGCAGGATGCAAGGCTTTGAGTCTTCATCTTTAGAATTCCGTGATCTAATTTCTCAATATCCCAGGTTCCCTTGGTTCTCAAAAACTTTTGCCTCCAGCTAGACCTTCTCAGGGTTCAATTGCCATTTTAATTGATCATATGGTATCTCCCAACAAAATAGATGACCAGATTCCAACCTGTGGCCTGAGGATAAATGACTGAAGTGCTTAATCTCTACTTCTGTAAATACAAATCCTTTTGGTGGTTACTCTTGCTTTGATCTCCTCCAGAATTCCATGACTAACTTCGAAAACGAAGAAGAGTTATCCTCAAGCAACTTCACTGGAGAGTCATATTCTACAACCTTGCCTACATTAATCAACACATTTGCAGCAATAAATTCAAATGATTTGAGGAAAAAAAAAAGTATATGCCAACATATTTATGATAGGCTACGCTACTTTATGTTCTCTGAATTCCAAAGTAAATAAATTAACTATCAAAGGAAATTTTGCCTTACCGTCATCCAGAACCAAAACCAAGTCATTGTCAATGACAGTGGGTATTCGATGTGCCACAGTGATGACTGTGCATCTACTTGTTTCTTCTCTTATTGTGCCTTGAATGATATTATCTGTTGCTGTATCAATGGAAGCTGTGGCCTCATCTAACACCAAAATTCTCCTTTTCTTTAGCAGCACCCTAGCCAAGCAAACAAGCTGCCTTTGTCCAACACTCCAGTTTTCTCCATCTTCAGCAACTGATCCATTCCCAGATTCCAGCAATTGAATATACAAAACTCTGTAAATGAAGGGAAAAAAAAGGACTTGAAGTTTCATTGCGTGCATATAATATGTACCTGGTGCATCAAGAAGTCTCTTATCTTGTTTAACTATATCTGAAAGGCGGCATTTGTTGAGAACCTGAAAAGCAGATTGGTTGAGTGAATATGTATTGAAATCCTATTTCACCAAGAAAGAGTTTTGATTCTTACCTCCCAGATTTCTTGATCTGAGTGTTGCTCCAAAGGATCCAGATTAGTCCTGACAGTTCCTTGAAACAATGTGGGATCCTGAGGAATTATGCCAAGCCTGGACCTCAGGTCCTGCAAACCTAGCTTAGAAATATCCAGTCCATCAATAAGAATCTGTCCTCCTGAGGGCTCGATCACTCGAAAGAGAGCTTGAATCAGAGTAGATTTTCCACTTCCTGTCCTGCCCACAACACCGATTTTCTTTCCTCCAGGAAAGGTACAAGTTATCCCTTTGAGAACCATTGGGAGAGACGGACTATATTGAACATGTAGGTTAATAAGTTCAATTCTTCCATACGCCGGCCATTCAGACTTTGGCCGACAATCTTCAATCACTAGAGGAGCTTCACTGGGTATGTTAGTGAATTGAAGAACTCTTTCAACTGATATCATTTTGTTTTCAACATTGCATAAGTTCCATATAACCCAAGCCTGAAGGACATTCAAGTTCAGACCATAGGTAGCTGCGAGCCCTGCCAAGCCTGAGATCCATTCAACCAATCATTAGACTTCAAGTATAAAATTGTTTATGTTTCAACCTCTGTGAAAAGAATAGGAAATGAATGAAACGTAGAAATATGCTTTTACTTGTCGACATGACCATGTTCTTGCAACATTCAATCACAAAATATCTTTAGGAATTATTACAAAAGTAAGCAACTGATCACAAGTGGCATCATCATCTTCGATTTGTTTTCTTGTTTTCACTTCTCAATGAAAAATAAATATACTATAGATGCTTGATGCAAATATGTACTACTATACAATGAGTTTCATTATTCCATTTCTTTTCTTCTCTGAGGCTTCCTTAATAGAATATAGCTAGATGGACTTAGTTTTGTATTCAAATTATGTCAGTTTTTGCCATTCCATCATTTATGAAACATGGCAGTGTTTGTGATATTCATCTACAAAGTTCCAAATATTCTTGCTTGCAAATCGGTGTGCATAGTTTCTCGTGATGTTGAATTACTAAAGATGAGACGTGAGAGACAAGAGGAGCTCACTGGGATCAATAGCTGACTTAGGAAGGTTGACCAAGATGATCAGAACAAGAAAAAACCCAAGGTTGAAGAGAAAGTTGATCCGAATGCACAGCCATTCCATTGTGCCTGAGTTGTGAAAGACTATGCGAGAATAATCATCAATCAAGCTTAGGTTTCTCGCCAGAAAACGTTCTTCCTGATGGAAACAGCGAATTGTCGCTGCTCCTGCAATAGATTCTGAAAAATGATGCAAGATAGGAGCCTTTCTGATTCCAACCATCCTGGCTAATTCTCTAGCAGTTGTAATGTAATAAGCCTGCAGAAAATTTTGATTAAGCACCATAATGTTTAATTATGAATTGAATAGGATCATAAAAGATTTGGACTAAAAATACCGGTGCATTTATTTATTTATTTATTTTTATTTTTTATTTTTGGCAGGTGCAACATCAATGATAAGAATCTGTTCTTGTAATTTAATGAACTTTGGCTTAGGAGATCAAGCAACCAAAACTTTCATGCAAATCATATCTATGTTGCAGTTGCACCACATGATAGTGCTAAGCTGTCAAATATCTCTTCACAGGGCTGATAAGGTTTAATTTCATGAAAACATGACAAGAAGTTGAAGAAGCATCATTTTTCTCTATACCTGATACCAGATGGAGATTCCTAGTATGACAAGAAACAGAGGGAAGACCTGCCAAGCCACCTGAGACATAAGGATGATGATGCTTAATAGCTGAATTAGGGCAAATGCCAATCCAGCCAATCTGTAGGGGATGTCTGTATCTACTGTGCTTTGATCTGTAGATGACTACTAGGACGAACACAAAAATAAATATAAATATTATTTCTCAGAAGCATGTGTGGCTGTTAGGCAAAACAAAGAGTATTGAACTTGGAATAAACAAAAAACTAACCCTGCTGAGGATCCTACTTGAAGGTGTAGCATCAAAGAATGAAATAGTAGCTCGAAAAACTGACGAGATCATTCCAAGGAAGAGACGCTGAGCAGTCTCAACAGCAATTGTTGCCAGAAAAACTGCTCTTCCCAATATAAAGATTGAGCTTCCACCAGACAACAAAATGAATATGCCAAGCAGCTTCTCTCTGGTGACCTTGTGGCTCTCCCCTGTTGCCCATGCAATCCAGTAATTGCTGCCCATCTGTAGTCCCTGGAAAAGGACCTGACACAGAAGAATGACTGGAACAAGAGCTCCTTTGTAAGCTGAAGTAATGAAGGTTGAGTAAACGCTCCATTTCACTCTGCCCGTTTCAGATGCTTCTTCTTGAGTTCTCTCTGAAAATCTATCAGCACTGCTAGGCTCTTCAAATTTTTCTTCTGTAACTTCAATTTGACTTAACGGAGATGGTCCGTTGGTTAACGAGTTATCTTGTTGGGGTGGATTTACTTGGTTTAGTGATCTTCTATGGGCAGCTATTTGCCCAAAAAGTTCACCTGTGGGATCTGCGATCAATTCTTCATATTTTCCTGACTGAATAATCGTACCATGTTTCATCACCTATAAAGACACATTTAAAAGCAGTGGATAAGAGGCTTGGAAGGACCAAATTCTTGTGATATTTGGATATCTAATCAAAGTTTCAGGTTATGTACCAGAACAAGGTCTGCGGCATCTAAAAATTCCAGTTGATGGGTAGCATAAATGACGGTCTTCTGAGACAAGAGTTGCATGAGACATTTCTGCACAAAAATATTCAAAATATGAAGAAGACAGGAAGATGGGAATACAGACACAGAAGAATAGTTGCATGAGAGACAACAAAAAGCATAAAAA